TAAACCCTGATCACTTGTAAAATTTCAGCTTGATCGGATGTCTCCAGCAAAATTTCTAAACACCAAAGTTTTTACCAATGACATATTTCGGGGTTTCAGTCATAAGAGTTCAAAAATTCACATCTCAACACTTCTCTAACCAATTTTGTGACTTTTTTTATTTGTTCCTCTGCACCATCAAATTGCATTCATGTAATTTTAGAACAAATTACTGTGTGAATCGCTACTACAAAATACAAACAATTGTGCGGCATAATGATACTTATAAAGATTGGGGGGGGGTCCGATATCGGTAGTGGCGGAGAAGCCCCTATGAAAATCCGGATTTTTTTGTCAATAGTAAAAACATATAAACTTTCCCTTTTACTATTACGTTCAAATTATAAAAGAGTTAAAAAAGAAAACGGAGTTTGAAAAAGGATTTAATAGAAAAACTAATGTACATGTCGACAAAAACAAAACAGTGAGAGCCATCTATAAAGATCGCATACATGCAGTTTCAATTTGATGGGCGTATCTTAATCTTAATCTTGAATGTTTTTGAAAATGATCGACATACAGTATGTGGATTTTCATAGGGGCTTCCCTATTACTATGTTTGTGCCATTACGTGTCTTGCCAAGTGTAATATAGCGATTTTCGACACCACAGCTAAAGCAATACGTAGATAAACAAAAAATATATCACGCAAATCAATTAGAAACATGTGGAGATATGGATTTTTGAAGTATATGTTGAAATAAGCGATGTAGGGTTTTTATATGTTTTTATCTGTTTTTCATGTTTTAGAGGCAAATATTGGATGTTTGTAAATTTTTACTGGCAGACATCCGATCAAGCTGAAATTTTACAAGTGATTATACACTATATACAGGGAAACTTCAAAGCGTTTACTCATTCGTGTCCCGAATTAGAAGCGGTGGGATACCCTGTTATCACTCTGGACGACAAGCGTGATTTGTGGCCGCTTCATTTCGAAAAAAAAAGGCATAATAATAAGTGGCCGATTACAAGATTACATATTCGCAAAACTAATGAATGGAAATTTTCATGGGTAAAACAACTCTGCGAAACCCAAGTGGATAGTTCTATTCGTCTATGCAAGCATATGGATAATCTTCTTTCTATAAAGGACAAGCTGGCAGTCTCTAGTTCAAAACGTAAGAAGAAAAAGGCCTTGTGACTTGACAAGGCAATCTTTCAGATGCGACGAAAAATCAAACACCTGCAAAGTGAAAGTTCATAAAAAGAGTGTCGCATTTTTTACTCGCGAATTTGATGCCATTATCATCCCTCCTTTCGAGGTGTCGAATATGGTAAATCGAAAAACAAGAAAGATAACACGAAAAACCGTTCGTAAAATGCTCTATTGGGGCCACTATCAATTTCGCCAACGTCTGGTGGCTAAAGCAGAAGAATTAGGGGTTCGTTACATGTATGAACAAAGCAGTAGTCGCTTGATAATCACTATCATGTTACAAATTAAATAATGTCCACTCATTCTAAACCGTAAAAATAATCCCTTCCCAATGTCCATAAAAAACTGCATATAATACACAACAAACCGCAAGCTGATTATGTACTCTTCCGCTTACGCCAAGGAGAAAATATACTAACAGTCAACCTCCTAATATTTATAATTGCGGAAAAAAAACGTTAGCGACAAATAAACCCATCAATAGTATAACAAGACATATCCGTTGAATTATTGTGAAACATATCCATCTCACCTTGGTGCATGTAAGAAATGTTTTACGGTGAAAACTATGCCAAGTACCCCACCCAGCATTCCAATTATAATGTACGCAAGGCCCAAAAACGGATTTTTCCCACCAATATGGGTGGCCGTTGCAATAACGAAAGCCTTTTTTCCACTACTAACTGGCCACACTAAACGAAGAAAGAGAAACCGCATTAACACAACATGTCTACTTTGATAGATTCCCTAACAACTCTTATCTTCAACTTACATAAATCAATAACAAGTTCGTATGTCCCAATAGCCATAGTGTCGTTCTTATTGATGCCATACAATTTTCTAAATCTAGGTAAACCTGCTAGACGCATCCACACTTGGAACAACTCGTCCTCGCTAGGATTAATAGGTGGATACTCGGGGGTGTACTGTCCATTAGGATACCTCTTGACCCAATTTGGTGGAGGTACTATTTCTGATATATTATAGGTAGTTTCACCGTATTTGTCGTCGTCCTCAATTGCCGCAATACCTTTTTGACTGAAATTGTAAGAGGTAGGAATGTCCTTAATCGGCGAATTGACCAATGTAAGATTGCTAAAAGTATCTAAGTAAACCGGAAAAAAATTTTTGTAGGAATAAAAGTAAATGTAAAATTATTGGCAGGTTAGTGAATGTAAATAATACCACATAGTATTGACTGCCACGACCAAGCGTTATCACAACAACAAACATGCGATCTCCTATCTCATTTACCATTAAACATCGAATTAGCAATCACTCCACACGGATAAATAATCTTGTGGTCTGCAGTCTCCCAAAGTCCTTTACAATTATTGGCTAGTTGCGCGGGGCTGGGCTTTTCTCCACTCAACTGATCAGGATCAAGACTCTTGACATAAGATCTCTCATTCTGATAGAAATTTGTCAGTCTATATAAAAAGTATATCGGTGCCTTCAGTTCTGTTGGAATAGTAAACTGAATGACACACTGTGTTATGGTTTCATTCCAAGCCAAAACCTCACGTTTTCTCCATCGAGGGAAGCTGTATGAGATTTGAGGTTTGTAAAAGGCAATTACGACATTATTTAGGGGCATATTGTTGAACTCTCCCACTGGTGCTCCTCCGTTAGATTCAGACTGTGCACAGTTGGTATAATCGATCACAAGTTCTGACACCTATTGGCAAGGTTTTAATGAATGAAAAGTGAGCAATATGATAACATATTAATGAATGACATCCATGAGTATACCAGCAAATCAAATATTCTTTCTCTACTTACTTTATCACTTTCATGCAACAAATATCCTCCCAAAGGTGCAAAAATAATCGCAATCAGGTAGAATATTGGAATAACCGACTTGGGAGCAATAACTGGCTGGCACGATTTCAAACGTTGTTGCTTGAAAGCCGAGCCTGGATTTGCACAAAAGCCAATCTTTTAGTCTTCTCACCATAAGCGAAAGTTCTCAATCAAAGGGTTCTCAATCGAAGGCTCTACTCACCACCAGGCCTGCGACTACTACTTTTCTCCGCCATTTGTTCTTATTCAACCAGTTTGTGAAGGGACATTCATTTAAAGGAGTATTTTATGGTGACAGCAACCGATTTCCATAAATAGTCCCTGCCAATTAGATTGCAGCAAGCATTTATTACTGAGGATGAACGCGTAATTGTATGGACATAAAGAGAATGGCGAAAGTAAATGAAAGTGACAGAGACAGTTCGCCGCGAGGAGGTAGAAAGGCCCCGCGCTCTACAAAGAAGGAAGTCAGTCGGTATGAATGAAGTCTAATGCTGCGGAAGAAGCCTGTGATATATTACTAATGAGGACAATATTTGTACTCCTCGCGATACTGTAGGAATTCGGTAATTACAAATTTCTTTCAACGCATTCCGAACCAGAACGAAAGGTAGTGCTGATTGTCATTCTCAACATTGTGTATTTAATGCTTTTTAGTATCATTTACAATAAACCTTTTTACCTTGGAAGTTAGTAAGGTCAGAAATGGAACTATGTCGAATCCTGTTGTCTATATAATCGATAGTGAAGAAGAAGATAAAGACGTTCCAGAGGTAAATGCGTTGACATGGACTAGTATGTGTCTATCGAAAAAAGTTGATACGATTTGAATCGTTTGGCAATAGGTTATTGAAGACGACGAGGACGATGTATTATTGAATACAACGTTTGACTTTTCCCCTCCGGAAGTCTTGAACAGATTAAGAGACGGGTTAGGGATAAGCTACCAATCTCTCGTTGCATATTTGCGTTTTTACATAATTTAATGTTGACATTATTTACAGAGATGAAACGGATGAAACAGGACCACGACGAGGCACGCGGGTCCGAAAAACTATTGCTCATACGGGTTTCGTGCCAACGGTCGAGGCCATACCCCCGCGAGGTAGGGTTCGATCGCAGGAAGATTACGCGAAAAACGACAAACCATCGTATCAGTTCTCCTTATCGTCATTGTTACGCGAAAAGAAAGAGAGGGATAGGTCGGGATATAATATCGAATTTCTTGAGAAAAGCCTCGATAATGACATGGTATGGCCATGCGAGAGAGAAGTTGTTTGTTTTTTTTATATAATCACGATACAATGATTGAGATGTATTATTATATTGCTAGGAATTGGGCGATATTGACGATCCTTTCACTGACTTTGATCTAGAGAGTGTGACAACGAACATTATTCCCGAGTATCGAAGGGAACATTTACAAAGGGTTGGTCAGAACGTAATTTTGATCGTCATTTATTCACCAAATATTAACAGCATCCTTCAATAGATTATCGCAGAAGAACAAAGGACTTGTTTTGAGCGACAATTAAACTTTTTTGAATCAATACCCGAGGTATATATATACAAGTGATTTCGTTCAAATTGAATAATTTTATTAATGATTTGGTTGCCACGGTATGTTAACAATAGAGATTGCCTGATCCAATATTGGATACAAATGATTTTTTGGCAAGGGATACTGTATATAGGCTTTTATTGGAAGCTTCGTTTGGTATGAAAACAATGAGTATTAGCAAAAAAGTTAATGTTGTAAATTCAATCTCCTTACAACTCAAATTGTCAGTAGATGACGCAAGCACACACGAAATCCTTTGCAGTAATTGGATTTCTCAGCAATACAAAGTCGGTTGGGAATTGCCTGTTGAAGTGGTCAAATGGTTGCTCAAAGTGGGTGAGTGAATGAGATCAAATTAACTTTGTCAACACGTTTCAAAGCGCTAATTAGCTTTTAATTACATATAGTCAGTTTTGAAAGTAATGAAATTTTTGCAGGAGCTGCATATCATACACTAAAACGACTAACAGAAATATGTACAAGTGCAAGTATTTAAAGTTTATTAGACCGTTGTGCTGTTTTATTCAATGATGGTTATATTAATGGTAAATTCTCGGACAGTCACAAGAGATGTCTTCATGTGAAATCAGGATACCGTTCCTATTTATATTTGAGATATTGGAAGAATATGGTGCGCCACCGGCTCTATTGGGATGCAGATGTCGTTTGACGGAACGCGCTATTCAAATGTCTTCTGTGCCGGGTAATTTGCGATTGTAATGGTGACTCTTTCCATTAGTTTCTCACGATCAATGACATTAATTAATATCGCATTTGATTAGAATCATCTCCTTGCTGGGCGTACTTGGACAATCTACGGTTATTATTACGAATAATGGTTCCATTGGTCGGAATCAAGTAAGTGAAGTCATAGTTAATACTGTAGATAAAACACGAGTAAAAGTGCTTAATCTTCGAATTTGGTATAGATGGCTGTCATTCTCAGCTGATGACGATATAAGAAAGGCTATTAGTGCACTTGTTCGTCTGTCATTTGACGTACGTTTGCGGTGCATATCAAGTGATTTAGAGCTTGCAATAGGTTCTCTTTTGGATGCCATTGATGGCTCGCAATGGACCGCGCAAGTAAGTTAAAGGAGCAACTCGCATTATTGTGTAGCTGCATTTCAATTAATTATTTGCTATTCAGGTGAAACTCCTCTGCAAGGATATAACATGGTCCATTGGCGGTTCACTATACTTTAATATAGCATTATTGGAACGTTTACCCGTTTCTAAGCGTGGTCTATTATTACGTCGATTACTGGCCTTTAATTTCCTACTCTCCAAGAAAGCCATACCTTGGAGTCTTGACAAAGTAAGTAATACTACACTAAGTGAATTCTATTGCTTTATTTTGACAAGACCAAGTCATTTATTCCACCACATTCCCTTCCCGGTTTAATAGATAGACGTATCTCAACCCATATCGCTCGAACCAATTTTGATACTCTTTTCGGATTCATCACCAACATTCAAGATTACCAAGAACACCGACTATGACGAGCTGGCAATGTTAGTATCCATATTAGGATTTGCACTTGATGATGAAAGTCAATTGCGACAAAACAAGGTACAGAAATCGCTGATGGTTTTGCTATCATAAGTAGTCATCGAATACTCACATATTTTGTTTATAGCAAGTCACTGAAGAGTTAATTAGCAAGATAAAGCAACTTCAGGGAAAGATAGGTACGTATAAAGTATTATAACACACTGCCGAAACGAAATATACGTTGATGTACCACTTTTTTTGTAGTCGACCACAAAGCTGCCTTTATAGATCGAACCAAGGTAAATTTGAACCTTTTCCTCGCTTATATGTTGATGTATCCGTACACACTTTTAACGCACGATAATCGTTTACAGTCAAAAGATGTTATACAACGACTATTCATGAGATTATACTACGTGGTGAGGGATGAAAGAAGAAGCAGCTCTTCCCTAAAAAATTTTACTTCCTCTAAAAATACGCATAATCCATTAAACGTTATGTAATGTTTCTCCGATTCTCAATATTCTGTAAAAAAAATACGACGTAATACTTTATTTTAATTCTTCTTGAATGGAAGTCCGTAATGCTAAATCTGAATAAAGTTTGCAGGGGTCATCTACTTATCATAAAACTTTGTTGGGCATTCAAAATAGCGTTTATATGCCCGAGCATTTGTAGTGCGATTGAGATACTTTACGACTGTTCGATAAGTTGAATGTGAAAGAATCTCGACATCTACAGTATAGGAAATTCCCAATCTATATTCTTCTGACAAAGGACATAAACTTAATCGCCACAATTCTTGCACTTAGTGCCTTGACCCGTTAAATTAATGTCCAGAGTATTTTGATTATAAATTTTTAATAGAGGGCATCAAAGATCTGAACTGATACGCAAAATTGTTTCCTTCCCTCGACAGTCTTTGTCGATAATTAATGAAAGGACTTCCAATCAAGATTAACACGTATTTATCGTATCCTCTGTCAGTACAACAGTAATACAGTGCAATATGGCAGACTAAGTATGAATGCCCACATATAAACAAAGCCCGTGAAATGTTTCGTATTATTACCATATCTCATTCACTATTAACACTTCCCTATTACTTACAATAAACGCATGCCAAAATCTATTAAATTTGTCGAATCTATCTGCAAGACGAAATAGCTAAAGTAATCACACTGTTTTGAAATAGAAAGTAGAGTAGATTACGAGGGGGATGCAATTAGTTAACAAAATATTACAGAATGTTTTTAGTAGATTACATTTTTACGAATTGTCCGATAATTATGTAAATAATTGAAATTGATCAATTACAAGGAAAGTCTTTCTTTCCCTGTTGATACACTTCAAATGTACTGTCGTGTATCAAAGTGAGAAGTAAAATATAAATACATTGAAGCGAAGTAAGATTTCGCAAAGATACTATATAACAAGTCCTATCTATAAATTAACAAGATCAGTTAATAGTCAACCAACAACTCACGTACAGACAAGCTCTCCCCCATCGCAAGCTTATCGTACAAGTCAGTTGTTAGTTACTACATTATCTGAAAGGTTGAGAAGCAGTTGTGCAAGATAGTGTTTCGTATGAGGATCGTCTTTGAGAACTTGCGAGAACGTAGCATCGCGTAGGGGTTCTGGTAGACATTGGCGAAGGGCTTCCCGCGCTCTGGATGTAAAAAGAGTGGGAAAGTAGGTAAGTTAAGTTTGTAAAGAAAGTCATCTCATGTCTAAAACACTTGTCGTGCTATGTTCAAGCTTACTTTGGATTCTCTGACAATCGAACATAACAGCGTACGACATGCTTGAGAAGACGAGCAGCTCTAGTCTCCACTAATTGATTGACCATGTTGTTCAAGACTGTTCCGACAGCATAAAATCTTTCATATGTCCCGCAAATATAATTTAATCCAGTATCATCTGAGAGTATCTTCTGAACAATGAATATGGCCACCTGTGTTGAAAAAGAGCAAAGTCAATAAGATAAGTAGACTAATGCTTGAAAGCAATGGCCACTTAAAAATGTTGATTATTACTGTTTTGGATAGTTCACTGCCCGTCTCCATAATTCGAAGGCAAAAAGGTATAATCTCTGTTGACAGTAAGAACTGAATTACTTCTGTATTATCGTTCTAGCATAGAATTGAAGAAAGAAACACGCATAATATTAGATGATGTAAAATGCATTGCATGAGATCATAAATGTTTAAACAGTCAAGAACTATCTTACATCTCTAATTTTATTATGATCACGTACTTTGACGAGTGCTCCAATTACACCAAGACTCGTTAGCCTCAAAAACTCAAAAGGTCTTATCTTGCTTGTTGTGTTGAGGAATGGATACAGAAAGAATGGAATATGAGCTAATAACAAAAAAATTGGGCGACGCGTTTTGCGTATACAGAGTGTGTCCGGTAAGATTTGGGTATATTGAATTGAACAGAAATTAGTGAACCGGGAGTTAGCACATGATATACAATGCAAAAAAAAAAATAATAAAATAAAAAAAACAACCAAAACTCACCATTGAGAAAGAGTCCCCTCGTCTCCTGATGACTGGCAACACATTGGAGTAAAGCAAGAGCATTGCATACTCTATTTGATGCATGGCCTGTCAGTGTGGGTGGGGAGAGGTGAGGATACACTGAAATAATTTCTTGGAGGAGAGTAGCCATTACTCCTGTACGAGAAATGGTTGTGAATATTAGTATGAATGTTAGTTCTGATATAATTGTAATCGTGTTTCTATGCCATGTATTGTTTACATCTGTTTTATTGTCTTTGTTACGTTGATCATTGATAATGCACGAAACAAAAATTCCCACGCTCTGCATTTATCTTACCAAAGGAGTGCCATAATATTAAAGCTAAATCTTCGTATTGATCCCTCTTCCTACTCAGCTCTGACAAAGCCTGCTCCCTAGTAGCTGGATTCAACAGTTCAATAACCAATCCATAGATCTTCTCTTCCTCAATCTGCGCATACTTCTGCTGGTGTTGGAGCGGTAAAGAAAGTGGTCCACTAGAAGCAGTAGCCCAAGGTTCAGGACCAATAGTGAGGGGATGGAGATTAGCTGAAGCTTGAAGATGGTTTGACAGTGAAGTAGCGCCGTTGAGACCGAGTGGATTTGGCGCAGTTAGAGCAGAGGCGGCGGCTGCTTGCTGTAGTTGAAGATATTGATGAATATGATTGGCATGTTGCTGGCCGAGTGAATTCATGTTTGAGTGTTGGGAATGTGAAGAGTGAGCTGAAGAGGGCAAGGCGGGATGAAAGAAGAGTAGACAGTGGATGTGGCTTGACTTATATATAGAGCGTGGGTTTGGAATAGATCTGCATCGATACAACCAATAAGATTAAATTGCTCACAGTGATATCACGTGCAATAGACGAAACAAACAAATTTTTTTTTATCTCCGTAGGCATTATTCAGGCCGGGAATATGTTGATTAAATCGGAAATTTAACAACTCGATTCGCATACGTCGAAATTGTAGGCCGAATATGCAATTTGTTGACATCTACCAGTTCGAAAGATCCCATAGTAATAGTAATAGTACGCTTTTTTTGTAAAATTAAGCTTAGTTTATAAGGAAGACGAATAGGAGACATATCTGCGTGAATAATCTCATCGCTGACCCAAATAAAAGCAAATAGAAGCACTGATTTCTACAATGATTATCATCCCATTGTGTCAAGTATTTGGGTGATCTTCAGCAATGCTCTATTACTATTAGTCATGGGACATGTCCCCCCCGATGTTGTTCATAGTAAATTTTTGCTTGTGTAACATCGATGACGAGACTTC